CCCCCCCAGTTTCCCAGGACCCTTCTATCCTGTCTAGGACTATCTGTCCTATTCCTTCCCATCTTCCAGTCTCTAGTCTTTGATCAAAATTCCAGCTCTGCACTCAGCTACTTGCTGTTTACCCAGAGAAAAACCTCTGAATAAATTGTCATGCCTTCACTTTCGAGTATGCCCTTAGGCTCAGTGGGTAAAAAGAGCACTAAGACCTCAAGAAGTTCCGATCTAGTGGGGGCTGGGCTGCAGAGATGTGTATCAGCTCTTACAACAGATATGAGAAAGCCTGAGAGAGAGCCAAGTACAGGATGATACAGGTCAAGGAGCCATGACCTGCTCAACTATAATTGTACTTTTAAAATAACAGTTTGCAAATCAAAGGATGGAATCTCAAAAGTCCCTGAAATGATACCTGTAGAGTCAGTACCAACACTATTTTATAAGAGCAAATAATAGGTGCCATTTCTGGGGGTTTATTGTACACCAGTGCCTTAGATATAATAACTCTGTTAGCCCCACAGCAGCTCTACGAGGGACACATATAATACCCACAATGCATAAAGTCACTGAAATTCAGAGAGGTAGGAAGTGGGGCCTCTGGTTTGGATTCCAGATGTGTGAAAGTTGTCTTCATTCCTATTTCTCCCTTCACTTTCACAGCCAATCCTATGCCAAGCTCTGCTGACTCTTTCTCTGAAGTTCATCACCATTTCTCTCCTGGCTTATTGCTTTACTCTCTTAATTAGTCTCTCGACAGCAGTCAATCCAGAGTGAGGCACAATATACAGGAACAATCATATCCACATTTTACTTAAGACAAAGCCCCACACGTTAACAGGACCTACAGAACCCTTCATCTCCAACCTGCCCCACGTCTCTATCTGGTCACCCTTACTCTCCATCCCCAGGCATGGCATGGCTAGTGCACTGCTAGTAGGCACCAAAAGCACTCTCTGACTCTGGGTGTTCACACATAATGTGACCTCTGCTTGGGATATTCAGCCCCCCCCCCCC